TAAAAATTAGTCGTCTACCCCATTGGGATGATGACAGGGTATGAAAATTAAAAATCTAATTAGTCCGTAAGGTAGGTAATGAAAAAATATTAGACACGTATTTGTTTATTTTGTCGTATAATAAAACAATACTTAGATAAAACGAATCAAAGTTTAGGAGTGGGGGCTAAAACGTCATTTCTACGTATAAAATGTACATAGAAGTGACGTCACGCGACATTTCAAATCAATATAACGTCGAAAGTATTCGTTTCTGTAAGAAAAAAAAAACGAGTCTAATGATTTAAAATAATCTACCAGACGGACAATAAAATAAAAATTAGGCATCATCATTATAATATTAGCAATCATACAATAGATTTTTTACATGAGATTCTAATTATACATTGTAACAATATTTTTATGTACTTTAAAATACCTTAGGTATTTAGTTTCCATTCGACAGCGTGTCAACGGAACGTCCTCGAAAAAGGTCGATAGGTGACGGTAAAGAAACAAGTTCAATTTTTACAAAAGTAAAGAAAATGATTAAATTTTTCTTTTATGTAATAATATAGACATAGCCCAAAGGATCAGTAAGCTGAAGTGGCAGTGGTTCGGTCACATTTGTCGAAGAACCGATAACCGCTGGGGTAAACATGTTCTAGAGTGGAGACCGCGTCTAGGCAAACGCAGTGTAGGGCGCCCTCTAGCTAGGTGGAGTGACGACATCCACAAGGTGGCTGGCAGAGATGAGAAGAGCTGAAGACCGAGCTCAGTGACATGCCATTGGAGAGCCCTATGTCCAGCAATGGACGAATATGGGCTGATGGTGATGAAATTATAGTTGTAATCAACTGCTCAAGACTGATGTTGTATGAATTGCCGGAGGCCCAAATACCTTAGTCCCCGTCTCCCGAATCCCCGGGGCGGGGCTCCAGCTCGAAGTGTAGGAGTAGGGGAGACGCAATTGGATGACTTTTCCCCCTCAAAAAAAAAGTGGGAATCACTCTTGGTTTTTTAGTGGTAGGAAATTCATCAAATGACTGGCTGCTTTGGGTGAAAGAGAGGGAGTGTCAGACTCTTACTGACTAAACGGTAAACATCACCCCGTTCCTATTCCTGCATACAGCTGGAGCCACGGTAACCCGCTAGAGTGTCTGCAGCACCAGGTCTCTCGAGACCTCATGCTTGACACTTGATAATCGCTTTTATAACCGCTCGACCAACGACGTAATTTAAAAAATGATACATCTATATCTTTATATAAATAATTCTTCTGTGAGTGTGTATGTCACTGAAATTCTGTCAAACGACTGGACCGATTTTGATGAAATTTTTTTTTGTGTGTTTTCAAGAGGATCTGGGAATGGTTTAGATTCACAAAATCAGCCCGACAGATGGCGCTGCAGTCGAAGTCTAGGTTATTTATCTTAAACATCTGAACTAATTTAAATGAATTTTTGTTTATACATTCAAGTGGATATGCAGGACAACGTCTGTTGGGTCCGCTAGTATATATATAAAAATGAAACCCGTTTCCCGTTGTCACGTCATAACTTGAGAACGGCTAGACCGATTTGGCTGATTTTTTTTTGTTGTGTTTGTTATTGTCAGGAGAAGGTTCTTATGACACATGATTAGAAAAAAACCTGAAAATCCTACGGGAACGGGAGAAAACGGGATTGCGCGTACGAAGTCGCGGGCAGATGCTAGTAATTACATATTATTTTATTGTCTTAAGCATGTATGTTTTATAATTATAATTATATTAAGTACATTATAGGCCTAAATATACCTGCTTCATAGACAATTATTTAAACGCAATTACCAGAATGGGTAGGGGGGAGGGGGAACCTCAAATAATTTTGTACAAACACGTATATAATATACAATATTGTGTCAATATACTTTTTTATTTCATTTCATGTATAACATCACGCCTTTCATTCCCCACAGGGGTACAGAGATGTACGGTCAAATGTCAAAAGTCCACTGCCACTGTATCTGCTCTGTTCACTGATCACTGATCGGTTGCGCTGCAGCGCTATACCCACATACACTCACATATTTGTATCCGTGCGTACGCGCGCGTGTGTGTATGCGTACGCACGCGTGTTTATGCACATTAATATGAAATTACTTACGCATTGTCGTGTGAACATCACTCACGGTGGCAGTGGACTTTTGACCATTGACTGTAAATACACATATAATTGGGGGTGAGCCTATTGCCATATATTATGTCACTGAGATTCAAAATGAAAAAAAATCAAATAATATTAATGGGGAACTCGACTAGTTTCAAGCCATGCTGAAGGCTCATATTGATGAGCAGCATTCCGCGACCAGCAACGCGCATGTCGCGCTGCCAAGTAAATATGAGCCTCTAGCATGGCGTGAAACTAGTCAAGTTCCTCGTCAAATAATTACGTGAAGCCGAAAACATAATAATTAATTCAGTTTGACTCACGCAAATTGCAATATAATATTAAAGACTGACCGTCTTACTCAACATAACATTTAATTCGCTAGTTTCCTAGGTTTAAAATAAATTCAATGCAATAAGTAATTAAAAAATAATCATACTCTCATCCATTGATTTGACAATTTACCTACTTTTGGATTTTTTTCAAGGAAATAAGTATCCTGTTTGACGCAGAAATATGACGACGTCATAAGTTGCAATCAAATATAAAATTCATAGGAAAGTATCGTTTTTGACATTTCAATAAAAGTATTGAATTTGACTACCTGTCCACTACCGTATTATTTCTTAGCAATCATATTCAGAACTAAGTAAATCTACTAAGGAATAATTTAATTTATCATTTAATGTTTTTGAGAGAGCTCAACTAGTTTCAAGCCATATGGGGGCTTTTTAGAGGGCGGAAAATCAACCAATGACTTCTCCCGCTTGGGTAAGGCGAGAGCATCAGACTCTTACTGACTGAAAACCACCCCGTTCCGACTCCTGCACTTCGAGCCGGAGCCCGGCAATCTGTTAAGTCCTCCGTGGCTCCGTATCGGGCATCAGCCCTATTGGGTCCCATATGTGGTGGTCTGATGGCTGTTTCAGTACGCTCGGGCCTGGTTCTGGTCGGGCGGCGAGCTACCTATGCTCGCCGTCCGCAGGCCCGTGCTTACGGTGGCCGGAGATCAGCCATATGGGGGGCTCTTATGTTTATATATTTTTAAGTCTCCTGATAGTGATTATACTAATATTCAGTAATAATTTGCCTGACTAGTGTATTAAACCTACGTCTCAATTTTTGGACATTTTATTATGACGTTTTAATACTTATGTTAGAAAATTCTTATTATTTTTATATATTAATAATACTGGACTGTGTCAGCTAGTACTAAATATATATAGTGCATATATAATATATGTTTTTTACAAGAAGGGGTAGACAGAGATGCAAATATACGATGGAAAACCCACATTTCACTATTTATGTTATGAGTCCCATGTAGTAAGGGGTGATACAGATATATTCGTATTATATAATGAGAATTTTTTGAAAATCTCATATATAACTTTGGGATCGTGAGACCTCTTGGTCGGCAGTCGCTCTTGCGTCCACTCGACTATCGAGACAGTCAAATATAAATTACATTATTATGATTATAATTATTTAAGTACCTACTTCTATCACTTACACAGGTCAAATATAAGGACAGAGCACTTTTAAACATTCGAAGGTAAAGTAGAATACATTTACAATCCCTCCTCTTCCCGCGGGTATACCTGACCTGACTAAGCGACTACACATTAGACAGAGACCGGGCAGGAGCGCTCTCTGGTAAACCAGGGGTTTATTCTTGAATCCAATTCCGATCGATCGACATTGGTATTGTGAAATTTCGTACTCTTGGGTTGTAACACTAGCGCCCATTGCATCCGTATTGCGTGGATATTGAATGAACTAAATGGTATTGAGTTTGGCTTTATATTCCGTACTCTGAATACTATTGTAACAGCTACGATAGCGGTTGTATAGTTTTGACATTGAATAGTACATTATAATTATATTTATTTATGTATGTATATCTCCGAAATATATTAGTTTATCTTTCATTGTTAAATAAAATCCCTGCTTGCCTCTTGCGCCTACCATTTTCTCTTCTCTGCATCACCCAAAGGTCATACTGATAGAAAATGCCTGCGGCATTAAGTCCGCCTATTTGTACATTTTGTGCATGAAGCATATTAAATAAGTAAATAAAAATAAATAAATAGTTATTGAGATTTTATTGGATTGAAATTGCATTGACATTGAGATTGGTTTCAAGAGTAAGCACCCTGAACCTTTTATACTGCGACCTCCAACCCGCCTGCCTGCGGAGATTATGACAAACCCTCTTATGTAGAGGAGACTCATAGTGCAGCAGTGGACTGTCACTTCTTATTGCCATACACTGGGACCAATGGGGCCTATCGTATTTTCACTCACCACATAGTGCTATAGTGAACCTCTAGTTCTACATCCAATAGGATATTAAATAGTGTCACGCCAATGGACGTTCACTAATTTACAGCTGATACAATTGGACAAAAATCTCTGTTTCTATGGGACAGGCCCGCCACCAACCAAAACCGCTGCAACTCCTGTGCACCAGGATCTACAGTAGATACAACTATGAAGACACCGGAACACTCAAGTCCGACGCGTCCCAGGGACATGAATAACTGTCTTGGTTCCCGTAACAAAGTGAATCAGAAGATATTATAAGTCGTCAAAAAAACCTCTTTCTTCATGTGGTTAGCAAAGATACGGTAGCCCCCATTTCAGGCAACTTGTTAACACCAAGAATTATAAAACCAGTACACAGTATAAAACAAAGTCGCTATCCGCCGTCTGTCTGTCCCTATGTATGCTTAGATCTTTAAAACTACGCAACGGATTTTGATGCGGTTTTTTTTAATAGGTTGAGTGATTCTTCAGGAAGGTTTATATCTATAATACATGCCTAATATAGTAGAGAAACACTAGTAAATTTAGAGATTTCTAATTGCACCCGTGCGAAGCCGGGGAGGGTCGCTAGTTATAACACTAATAAAACTAAAAAAAAAATACCTCATTCGAGAATCAAACCCAAACGAAAAAAGTGCTCTATCCTGTACAAATCTCTTCATAATCACCGCAAACAATTAATCACCTCATCACCTGTGTACAATCACCGGTACTGTCAGTAATTCTCTCTGCTATTTCAGTAGTTTCTCCTGTTCGTCAGCTCTGGCGAAGACGTCACCGTTCCTCCCCTCAGGGGGGGAGCGGGTGGAGAATGAGGAGCGGGTGTGGGGGGACGCTGAGACCGGTTGTGGGTGGGGGGATACCTGCGGAAAATAACATAACATCACGCCTTTTATCCCCGAAGGGGTAGGCAGAGGTGCACATCATACTACTGTACAACGTAACACCCACTTTTCACTATTTATGTTATGAGTCCCATGTAATAGGGGGTGAGCCTATTGCCATATACCGGGCACAGTTCAAGACTCCGTGCTACTACTGAGAATATTTTAAAAACCCAGTAATACTTTGCCCGACTGGGAAATCGAACCCGAGACCCCTTGCCCGGCAGTCGCAATGGGGTAGACGACTATTTTTTATTTTAATGTCCGTCTGGTAGATTATTTAAAAACATTAGACACGTATTTTTTATTTTCTTACGGAAACGAATAGTTTCGAAGATATATTGATTTGAAATGTCGGGTGACGTCACTTCTCAGTACATTTTATACTAAGGAATGACGTTTTAACCCCCACTCCTAAACTTTGATTCGTTTTATCTAAGTGTTGTTTTATTATACGACAAAATAAAAAAATACGTGTGTAATATTTTTTAATTACCTAACTTACGGACTAATTATATTTTTAATTGTCATACCCTGTCATCATCCCCATTGCGACCACTCGGCCAACGAGGCAGTTTTTTTTATGGTTTAAGCCGGTAACCGAACTAACAGATCACCTGACGTCATAAAAAAAGAAGTTAAGAAAAGTAAGGAAATAGTGATTCACCTGTCTAGATGGAGTTCTGTGCTCTCCGCTAATACTGATGTCCTCATCCACAGATTGTAACAACTAGAAAAAGAAGAAACAAGATTGAAACCTTTAGATTAGAAAAATATATAAAGGAAATTATATTTCTATAATAACTATCGTGAGACATACTAGAACTAAAAATCGCGGGGTACTCACGTGAATACACTGAGAAACGCTCTACTAGTTTCGAGCCACAGAGGGGCTCTTCCTCATGAGCAGCGTGCGTCGGCGCTTGCGCTTCGGCACAAAGTCAATGTGAACCCGGAATCCAATCCATTAATCACGCCACTGGCGAACGTATAGTGCGGTTTAACATTGTCGCAATGGCCGCCGGAGTTGAAAGTCGCACGTGGTGTCCGACAGAGGGCGCGGTGAGCTCGCAGCGCAAGGAATAACACCAACGCAATCGCTTTTCTCAGTATATTCACGTGAGTATTAGGAATTATATTTTTTATACTCAGAAGGACAAGAAGGAAGTAATATAGGACTTAAAAGGATAGTGAAGGATCATATTGAATCATACATTTTTAAGGGGGGGATAATCATCTAATGACTTCTCCCGTCTTGAGTGGGGTGAGAGGGAGTGTCAGACTCTTACTGACTAAAAACTATCCCGTTCCTGGTAACCTGCTAGGTTGTCCTATTTGTTGATTGTAACGAAAATTCAAAATATAATATACAATATAATGCCCAGTTTACATCAGCTAGGCTAAGCAATAACTATATTGCCCGACCCGAAAATAGAATCCGAATATCGTTGTTGTATTTGCTACTTGTGGTGGGTACATAACATCTGCGTGAAGAATAGCGCTGCTGACAATATATTCTACTCGACTACCGTCATCACTATACTACAATAAGATGTTTAAACTGATCACCAATCATTTCTGGTTCCTCTCCAGCATCTTTATAATCTTGGATAGTTGAATGAGCATCAGCTGTTCAGTTTCAACCCTTCTCTTCTCCAAGTCTATTCTCTCTTCTTTCCACTCTCTATCATAGTCTATGGTGTCCTTCTCGAATTCCAAAAACCTCTCATATCGATCCAAATGTTCCAATTGTCTATCATGAGCCTCTATCTCTTGTTGAATCGCTTTATAATCGAGTTCGGTTTTAAAATCGGTATCCCGGTTCGGTAAATCGATTTCTGGGTGGGATTTGGTATCGATTTCCTCGTGACTTTGTGGGGAGAGGTTATGGAAGGTCAGGAGGGAGGAGTCCGCGTGAAATGTTGTCGTTTTTTTCTTTTTGTGGTGATCTGTCTCTATAAGCAGTTAGTCAAAGTGGTAAGAACACTAAACTAACATATTATTAAGCATTTGACTGCAGTCAGAAAACTGCTGAAAGCAAATCCTCCACTAACGTAGGTCACCGGTGACCTATCATGATCTACTCGGGTATACGACACCCGCGGGAAGAGTAGGGATGGTGACAAATATATTCTACTTTGCCGTCACTCCACCGCTATTCCTCCGCAATAGCGACGATGACAGGGTATGAAAATTAAAAATATAATTAGTCCGTAACTTAGGTAATGAAAAAATATTAGACACGTATTTTTTATTTTGTCGTATAATAAAACAATACTTAGATAAAATGAATCAAAGTTTAGGAGTGGGGGCTAAAACGTCATTTCTACGTATAAAATGTACATAGAAGTGACGTCACGCGACATTTCAAATCAATATATCGTCGAAAGTATTCGTTTCTGTAAGAAAATAAAAAATACGTGTCTAATGATTTAAAATAATCTACCAGACGGACATTAGAATAAAAATTAGTCATCCACCCTATTACATTATATTGTATGGTCATCAAGATTAAGAGTGTGTACCAAATATCAGATCGATCTGTCGTCAGGAAGGGGGGGGACATTCTCAAACCAACAAACGGGGCAAGCTAAATATAACGAGTCTGCCTTCTGCGCTCCGATTGGTTAGTTTATTGCAGCCGGCCAATCAGAGCGCCGAACACGTAGGGGGAAGTCCCGTAACGCCGGACGGCACCTAACGCCGTACGCCTGCAGTATCTCGATAACTGATAACACAAGTGATTTAATTTTTACTAAAAATCTTAGGTGACTGCTACTGGGAGACTTTCCTCTAAAAATTGAATCGCTCACGTTATTAGTTATAGAGATAATACAAGCGTACGGAACACCGTACGCTTGTATACGCCGGACGGCACCTAACCACCTAACGTTAAGGGACTTCCCTGTACTCGTTTCAATTACTTTAACTCGTCGAGTACCGGTTTTGTAGACACAATTATAGAACAATAGGTTGCGGTCACCGGTGACCGCTTGGTGTTTGACAGTTTAAACGTGAATCAAACTTATACTAAGGCCTCAGTACAATATTCAAAAATAGACTCTATACTCCTTAGAAATAAACCACAGATTTGCAACTAACCATGCAACTTGTCATCTGCACTTTTATTCAGAACATTCTTTTTGATCCAAAAATTATTTTGAATGCATTCAGCGCAATTATTGGCGTCCATTTCCTTGACAAAATTCTTTGGTTTTTCGACATTAAATTTCCCATAATTCGTCCAATATTTAGTGGAATCGCTTGGGTAAGATATAGATGGTCCAGTTTTAGTTAGCTCTATGTAAGATTTGGTGGTCACGCCCATTTTGGGTTTCGAAGTGTCTGAATGGGCGTAGAATTGATTCGGTTTTGATAGAATTTTATCTGAATTTGTATCTAAGCGTTCAGAAGATGGGTAGTTCTGGGATATTTGCATCAATTCTATTATGTTCACTCTTGGTGGGAACGATAGGTGCTGGAATAATATTAAAACTGAAATTAGCCTTTGATAAATGGACTATTCAACACAACTTGGGTGTTACGTGGTTCTCGCATAATCGAACCAATAAAATTGTGTAAATGGAGAATTGATTGTATTGTGAACCTGATTGAAAAAGAGTAACCTATGGAGTTTCTTGCTCGTTCTTCTCCATAGGAATCTACACCTTGGAACGAGCAAATAGCTTCACTTTTAAATTTCTATTTCTGACGTTCACAAGTGCCTTCCTGGTCTAATTGTAATAAATGATTTTGACTTTGACAAAAAGAATTTATAATAACTATCGCGAGACATACTAAATTAACTACAAATCGCGGGTTACTCACGTGAATATACTGAGAAAAGCTTTATTCTACTACCAGTAGGCTGCGTGACATCGCCGCGACCGCACACGCTGCTCATGAGGAAGAACCCCACTGTGGTTCGAAACTAGTAGAGCTTTTCTCAGTATACTCACGTGAGTAAGCCGCGATTTTACTTAATAAACAGATTTATTCAAATCGGATGAGTAGTCGGGTGTTTCTTCAAAAAACTATAACTTTTATTTAACAAATCATTATCCTCCCGCGTTGTTAAGGATCGCAGTAACTTATTTATTAGCATCTGTATTTTATTGCATTGGGTGAGAGCAATGCCACGGCTGAACTTTTTGAAACTAAACTTTGTATTTTAATCAGCAGAATTGTTAACTTTGGCTTAAGGATAATGACGCCGTTAATTTATAGTTTTTTTTTTTGGAGAATCACCCAGTTCCTAAGATTAGCGCGTTCAAACATACAAGTACTTCAACTTTATATCACTACATAGTATAAAACAAAGTCGCTATCCGTCGTCTGTCTGTCCCTATGTATGCTTAGATCTTTAAAACTACGCAACGGATTTTGATGCGGTATTTTTTAATAGATAGAGTGATTATAAAGGAAGGTTTATATGTATAATACATGCATATTGCACCCGTGCGAAGCCGGGGCGGGTCGCTAGAATTGAATAAAAGCGAAATAAACCTTATTCAGTGTGGAAGTAGATCCTAAATCGTCTGTATTACGCGTGGACGCCGTGCTGGTAGACTTGCCCAGTAACTTCTTGTACTGTAGTGGAACATTCCCACTTGATTTGCTTGAGTTACATAGATTCTGGAAAAGGGGGGACGGGGGAAGGGGATTTAGGGGGTTTTTAGGGGTTGGGGGTTGAGTGGGGAGTAAAGGAGTTTCAGGTTTGAATTCTAGGTCAAAGTGTGATTGAGTGTTTATATTTCTGATATTCTTAAGTATTTAGTTTATTTTTTTGGGAATTTCCTAGTTAATAGATGATATTCTGTGTTCTTTAAAAATGGAGTAGTCTTATTTAATATTGGACGAGTTTAAAACTAAAAACAGTATACAATTTTAAACTTTTATAGCAATTACTAAGAATATCAGAAATAAAACACTCAATACCCCTTTGCTTGACTCAGGTATCAAACCTAATATCACTTAATTAAGTACATTTTGCCCAAACTAGGCATCAAACTCAAGACCCTTTACTCAATACACGACTATTCTTTTACTAAATCCACTAATTGTTTAAGATTCATCATCACCAATGTTAAAGAACGAAAAAGAGCTCTATTACAATAAAAATAAGGTATATATTAACTTACCTTATCAACTTCTGTGTCAAATTGTTCGTTAGTCGCTCCTTTAGATAAAGCTCCTTTCTCCATTAACGTGGCGCGCTTCGCGGCTAGGTAGAGAGATCTGAAAATACATATTATTATTAATTTGTTATTCATAAGAAATTATCTAGTTAACTGCCTCGCTGGCCACTGATCACTCGGTCGCAAGTGCTACTGCCGGGCAAGGGATCTCTGATTCCAATCGATAATAAAAATTTTCAGTACTAGCACGGAGTCTGGATTTATCCCGGTATATGACAATAGACTCAACCCTATTACATGAGACTCATAACATAAATAGTGAAAAGTGGGTGTTACATTGTACAGTGGCATAATGTGCACCTCTGCCTACCCCCTTCGGGGATAAAAGGCGTGATGTTATGTTATATTCATAAGAAATTGTCTAGTTAACTGCCTCGCTGGCCGAGTAGTCGCAAGTGCGACTGCCGGGCAAGGGATTTCGGATTCCAATCGATATTAAAAATTCTCAGTAGTAGCACGGAGGGTGTAATTGTGCCCGGTATACGGCAATAGGCTCACCCCTTATTACATGGAACTCATAACATAAATAGTGAAAAGTGGGTGTTACATTGTACAGAGGCATTAAGTGCCGTAATGTGCACCTCTTTGGGGATAAAAGGCGTTATGTTAGTATACGCCAAATTTCATCAAAATCCGTTCAGTAGTTTCAGCGTGATTGACGGACAAACGTACAAACAAAGCAACCTTCACATTTATAATATTAGTGTGACGACCCACCGCTTAACAGTCAAATAGAACAGCTCTGCTATGGCCCTGACGGAGTAGTCAGGCACGAAGGTATGACGTAGCATGGAGTCCATGTTTATATTCTGGAGAGAACCCATCGCTGACGGGGTCGGGGACTCGGCTAGAAATTGAAAAAGTAATATTAGTTGTTGTGGCGATCACATATGAAAACAAGTTCAGCTTGTCAGTGTCACATTATCATATTATGAGTCAATATAAGAACTTGTTATTTTTTAATATTACATTGTATTGAAAAGTCAAAATAATTTAATTTTGACTGAGGAAATTCTATGTAGATTGATGCCCACCATACAATAATATATTATTGTACCAACGAGTTGATAATGATAGAAATTTAGACTACCTACTGGATTTTTTTTAAGGGGGGAAAATCATCGAGTGACTGCTCCCGCCTGGGTGAGGCGGGAGGGAGTGTCAGACTCTTACTGACTAAAAACCACCCCGTTCCTTCTCCTGCACGTCGAGCCGGAGCTCCGGTTACCTGTTAGGTTCTCCGCGATACCACCTACTGGATATCGGCGTCGCTCATGGAAACTTGGAACACTAGAGGCATTTTGAGAATGGTTAGATCGACGGGGACTAGGGGGGGGGGGAATTAGGCCTCCGGTAACCTCACTCACACGACGAAACATAACGCAAGCGTTGTTTCTCGTCGGTTTTCTGCTCGGCCGTAGTATCACTCCGGTCGAGCCGGCCGATTCGTGCCTCTCTTCATGGCTCTCCCACACTTAAATGTGCTCATTTCTTCTTCAAACGAGGTTATAATATGACTAAAAGCGTATTAAACTATGATATTTCTACTAACCGACTCCAACGTTCTGCGTGAGCGCCTGTACCCCGAAGTAAGTGAATGGTCCGGCCTCGAACACCAAGTTCTCGCGCCCCACCGTCACCTCCACGCGACCTTCCAGGATCAGGACGAAGTAATCCACCTGCATACAACGTGGGACATCAGGTGGAAGCTGTTAATGTTTTGAATAGGGTAGATGCCTAATTTTTATTTTAATGTCCGTCTGGTAGATTATTTCAATCATTAGACACGTATTTTTTATTTTCTTACAGAAACGAATACTTTCGACGATATATTGATTTGAAATGTCGCGTGACGTCACTTCTATGTACATTTTATACGTAGAAATGACGTTTTTGAAAGCCCCCACTCCTAAATTTTCATTCGTTTTATCTAAGTATTGTTTTATTATAGGACAAAATAAAAAAATACGTGTCTAATATTTTTTCATTATCCAACTTACGGACTAATTATATTTTTAATTTTCCTACCCTGTCATCATCCCAATTTTTTGCTTGACATTTGGAAAGTTGATAAGATTAAGAATAAGAATACTTGATAGGTTATAAGTGGAACGGGGCTCTGGTCATGTCTGCCGCATGTCAGACGAGCGGTGGGCGAAAGTCATTACATATTGTAATGGACTTTGAAGAGCTACTACTGATGATGGTGGTGTACTCACCGGCTACCTCTGCTGGAAGACGTAAGTGCTGATATCCTTCTTGATATTGCATTTAGCAGCTCTTATCCGGGTATACGACACCCGCGGGAAGAGTAGCGGTGGTCCAAATTACTACGTACTCTAATGGATTTTCAAGAGCTACTACTGCTAAAGATGTAATACTAACCGGCTTTCCCTGCTGGAAGACGTAAGTGCTGGGATCCTTCTTGATATTGCGTTTAGCAGTTCTTATCCGGGTATACAACACCCGCGGGAAGAGTAGCGGTGGTCCAAATTACTACGTACTCTAATGAATTTTCAAGAGCTACTACTGCTTATGATGCTGATGGTGATGGTGTACTCACCGGCTTCCCCTGCTGGAAGACGTAAGTGCTGGGATCCTTCTTGGTCTTCCCTTTGATTTTGATGTGCTGTATGACGTCCTGTTTGAGCAGACGACGGAGTACTGTCTCTGACACAGTGTCTGGACGGAACGCGTCTACACCTGGAACGAAGAAAAATATTATGTTTTCGACTTACTCACGCAATTATTTGACGAGGAACTCGATGACTAGTTCCAAGCCATGCTAGATAGCCGCGGAAGACTTAACGGGTTACCGGGGCTCCGGCTCGAAGAACAGGAGAGGGAACGGGGTGGTTTTTAGTCAGTAAGAGTCTGACACTCCCTCTCGCCTCACCCGGGCGGGAGAAGGTATTCGATGATCCCCCACCCCAAAAGCCCCCATGTGGCTTGAAACTAGTTAAGCTCTCTCAACAGTTGACGAGAGTAGCTGCTACATTCAGAAACATTGAATGATAACTATGCTAGGTGCTCAGATCCATGAGCAGTATTCCGCGGCCCGCGCCCGGCGACTGTCGCAGGTACTGGTTGCTCAAAGCCCCCCTATGCCGTGATCCAACCAACCTCTATCCGTGGTATCGAAATTTCGATTTATTGATAAGTTAAAATCGTTTTTTTTAACCTTTTTTTTTTTTTTATGGAATATATAAGCCGGTAAACGAGCAGACGGATCACCTGATGGTAAGCAATCGGCGTCGCCCATGGACACCTAGAACACCAGAGGCGTTACAAGTGCGTCACCGGCTTTTTGGGGATTAGGAGTTTGAGGATCGTTGGGGATTCAGGGATTGGGGAGATTGGGGAAGGGGAAGGTAATTGGGCCTCCGGTAACCTCACTCACACGACGAAACACAACGCAAGCGTTGCTTCACGTCGGTTTTCTGTGAGGCCGTGGTATCACTCCGGTCGAGCCGGCCCATTCGTGCCGAAGCATGGCTCTCCCACACCTGAAAACTATCCTAACCTATACATATAATAAAATCGTAAGATAATCAAAACTGTACATTGAATTTTTTTTTAAAAGAATACTTCGAGCGTGATCTACAATCGATACCGAAGCCAAAAATATGGTTTTTAGAATTTTTGTCTGTTTGTCTGTATGTATGCCCGGGATGATCTCCAAAAGTACTGCATGGATATACTTCAAATTTTGCATGAATATTAACTAACAGGTCGGGTACACATATAGGCTACATATTATCACGCTATCACTTATGAACTTGATGCCTATGAAAATTATTGGCCACAGAAAGCTTTAAGAAGATACGAGTGGAAGGAGGGTAGAGAGGTCTTTGCCCTGCAGAGGGACGATCATAGCTAAAATTAAATTAAAAAATAAATCACCTACGGGGGAGTAGCTGCGAATTACTGGTCCATGCGGACGAAGTCGTGGGCACAGCTATTAGCATGGTAAAATAGTGGCCTTAAAAAAAATATACTTACTAGTGCTCAGAAACTGGAATGTAGCCAACGTTAGCTGTGGCGATATATGTATCCTCTGGTTCTCGTGCCGTTCAGCGAACGCCGTGAAGTCCTGCAACTTGTTCGTGGGCTTGTTGCGGCGTCGCTTGGACCTGTTATCCACTGGACATAGGAGAATGAGCTTTACAAGTGTGTAGTTTGAGTTTATTATTGTGTAACCGACGTGAAACAACGCTTGCGTTGTATTTCGTCGTGTGTGTGAGGTTACCGGGGGCCCAATTACCCCCCCCCCCCTCCCTTCCCAGTCCCTGAATCCCTAAAAATCCTCACATTCCTTATCTCCAAAAGGCCGGTAACGCACTTGTAACGACTCTAGTGTTCCAGGTGTGCATGGGCGGCGCCGATTGCTTACCATCAGGTGATCCCTCTACTCGTTTACCGGCTTAACTCATAAAAAATACGTTTAAAAATGGATTGATTGAAATGATCTGTTAGAATTTATTTTAATATGGGCAGAAATGTCTTATTTTTGAACCAAAACTGGTGTTTTCTACTTTGATCACAGTTCTGACAAGAAGCAGGAAATATGTTCTATGGATTTCAACATGATATATTTGAAATAACAGATACAATGTCAGTTTAACTCGGCCAACGATAGTCGCAACTCGATCAACACTACACAACTAATAAAAGATTGGTCATTGTCATTGAATAAAATACTATTGGTCTTTCCATGAAAAGACCAAGTAGACCAAGAGTAGACCGTAGTAGACCATCCACATTTATACACCTTATACACTAGGAACACCATAAAAAGACCAAAAAGAACAATAAACTTACAAAAGACGTCAGTCTCATCAACGATTTCTGCTTGAATCATCTCTTCAATGACGTCTTCTAGAGTCACCAGTCCCATGGTTTCGTAGAAGGGATCGCCCTCGCCTTCGTTGTTGATACGGTGCACGAACGCCATGTGGCCTTTGTGTCCTATAATAGACAAAGAAATAAATAAAAAACAATTTTTACCCGTAGTAGATAAGAAATCCTTTGGAATAAATTGGCCAGAGTCAACCGGATACCACGGCCTCACAGTACATTACGATTTTCGTCGTATGAGTAAGATTCATCATCATCAGACTGTAAGTGGCCACTGCTGACCAAATGCCTCTTCTCACACGGAGAAGGTTTGAGCATTAATCACTACGCTTGCTCAATACGGGTTGGCAACTTCAAACTTATAATTTGCTTACCATCAGGTCTACCAGGTTAGCGATAGGCTACTATTGGTATGGTAGTATATAATATTTGTTATATAAAATACTAGCTTTTACCCGCGGCTTCGCTCGCGTCACAAAAGGATAAAAAGCCAATGTGACATATACCAATACACACAGCACCATCTATACCAATACTTTTGTTTTCCCTCGGAAATATCAAATTTTTCCGGGATAAAAAGTACCCTATTATTTAATCCGGACTTTACGTCTGCAAAATTTCAAAGCAATCGGTTTAGTAGTTACGGCGTTAAAGTGGAACAAACAAACAAACAAACAAACAAACTCACTTACCGATTTATAATATTAGTAAGGATCTCAACGAATTGAGAACCTCCTCCTTCTTTAAAGTCGGTTAAGAATCAATGACAAACCTTCTTTAAACTGTTTAAACATGACATCAAGAGTGACGTCTTCGAAGACGAAGTTGCAGGGGTTCTGGTAGTACTGGCAGAGCGTCCGCAGCGGAGTATTATCGTCAGGGTCCACGAAGGCCAGGTCCTTGATGAACAGCACCGTCACTATGTTGCCTCGGGTGCCTTCGTACACTGGGATGCGGGAGTAGCCTGGAACGAGGAAACCAAGAGTCATCGAAAATCAGAAGTGAATAATACATAACATAACTTCACGCTTTTTATCCCCGAAAGGGTAGGCAAAGGTGTACATTACGCCACTGTACAATGTAACACCCACTTTTCACTATTTATGTTATGAGTCCCATGTAATAAGACATAACAATTCCAGACTCCGTGCTACTACTGTGAATTTTTCGGAAAACCCTGTAATACTTTGTCCGACCCGGGAATCGAACCCGAGACCCCTTGCCCGGCAGTCGCACCTTTGACATTCAAGACGGACATTCAAATAAAATTTAGGAAACTACCCTATTACATTATGCATAAAAATCGATTCAACCAACGGCGAGAAAATCACAGTAACATACATACTTGGAAATCAAACTGAGAACATCTGAAGGTAAAATAGAAAATTAAACTATCATATAAAATCTACTATGCAAAATAAGTCGGGTTTCCTTCCTGACGCTATAACTCCTGAACGCACGAACCGACTCCCACGGTTTGCATTCGTTGGAAAGGTCTCGGGCTCCGTGAGGTTTATAGCAAAGAATGTTACATAAAACAAAGCCATCTGGTGGCGAAACGGAGTTCGCCGGGTTTGCTAGTCTATACGTATATTTTTATTATGAGACAAGCCCGCCACAACCTCCCAATACCGCTGCAACTCCTGTGCACCAGGATCTACAGTAGATACAACCATGAAGACACCGGGACACTGAAGTCCGGCGCGTCCCAGGGACATGAGTAACTGTCTTGGTTCCCGCAACGAAGTGAATCAGAAGATATTATAAGAGGAGAAGAAGAAAAAACTATGATTTCCACTTCCCTCGGTGAATCGTACGGTCGGTCTATACGTATATGGAAACCAGAACTCACCACTCTTAACAATTTCCGACATGGTCTCGAAGTCCAGCACTGAGCTGATAGGCAGCATGAACACGTCTTCCAGCTTTGTCATCACATCGGAGACTGTCTTCTTACGAAGCTCCAGGGCTCCGGAGATGATGTTCACCTCGTCCTTGTCCAGGTCGTTGACGTCTGTGGTTACCTGAGGAGTTTAGAAGGGGTGGCGAGTTAGAAAGGTTCAGTCAAAGTCAAAATCAAAGCATTTATTTCAAATATTCATTCATTTTATTAACGTAACACCACGCCTTTTATTCCCGAAGGCAGAGGTAGGCAGAGGTGCACATTACGGCACATAATGCCACTGTACAATGTAACACCCACTTGTCACTATTTATTTTAAGAGTCCCATGTAATAGGGGGTGAGTCTATTGCCATATACCGGGCACAATTCCAGGCTCCGTGCTACTACTGAGAATTATTTAAAAATCCCAGTAATACTTTGCCCTACCCGGGAATCGAACCCGAGGCCCCTTGCCCGGCAGTCAGTCTTCATTTTATTAATCCTTATTAAATGCGCCAACTTTGGTGAAATATCCCACTACTACCGCAGTACAATTTTTGTTCAGTACAGTCACGTTCGTCAAAAAAGTCGTTATTTTCCAAACTAAAGCGGTTGGCCCAGAATTTATGATTCCATACTACTGAAGGACTATTCAGAATAACGTAAGCAAAAATACAGTCGAAAAAATAAAGAATTCCAGCAGTAAGAGTCAAAATATTGGGACAGGATGTACAGTCAAAGGTCAAAAGTCCACTGCCACCTTGAGTGATGTTCATCCGGCAGTGCGTGAGTAATTTCATATTAATGTGCATAAACACGCGTGCGTACGCATACACACACGCGCGCGTACGTACACGGATACAAATATGTGTGTGTATGTGTGTATAAGCGCTGTAGCGCAACCGATAGTAGTCTTACGGTGGCCGTGGACTTTTGACGTTGACCGTACATTTTCGTGGATAACACATAAGTCATTGTAATTTAAAAACTATATGACTTCCATTTTTTTTTTAATTTTCTGATAACTGGTGAAACCTTACCGATCATCTGGTGCCATTTGGTCTTCGACTTCAGGGACACCCTGTATAAACTTTCTAAGATTATTTAGACACCGCTGACAAACGGTTAAGGAAAACATCATGAGGAAACCTGGACTTATCACTACATATTATAAAACAAAGTCGCTATCCGCCGTCTGTCTGTCCCTATGTATGCTTAGATCTTTAAAACTACGCAACGGATTTTGATGAGCTTTTTATAATAGATAGGGTGATTATAAAGGAAGGTTTATATGTATAATACATGCATATTGCACCCGTGCGAAGCCGGGGCGGGTCGCTAGTAATTTCTAATTATAAGTTTGTAATCGCCAACTCGCATAGGTCAGCAGTGACCACTTAGGCTCCTGATCAGAATTATTATTCGAATATTAATGAAAAGGTTCAGATTTATTATTCGACTTACCTTGACCAGCTCCTTAAGTCTCTCCCTATTGTAGACGCTGCCGATCTCCTCACCCAGGAAGTAGTCCAAGAGTTTGCTCACTGGAAAGGCTAGAGGCGCTGTGAGAGCCATCACCGACTATGGGACAATAAAGACAATGTAAATGTACAGTGAAACTTGGTTAAGTGGAACCTGGATAAGTGAGAAACCTCCACTCATGCTAAGGTCCCAACACTTTGGCACTGAGTTACCTCTGTTAATGGGACGAGGTAAACCTCTATATCTGGGATTTGTTCTTTCGATTTATCATCATAGTTACCTCTATAACTGAGACAGTGAGTAAATTGTTTATGCATAAACCTCTGTAACTGAGATAACATTGTTTGTTTACTCATTCTTATTCTACCCACAAATTCCATACGTAATACCAAGTCCACCTCGATTAATGGAACCCTCTGTAAATGAGACAGATATTTATTTATACCTGTATATCTGAGATACTGGGTAAGTGGAATACCTCTATAAGTGAAACGGCATTGCAGGTCCCTTGGTGTCTCACTTAACCAGGTTTCACTGTATATATATCTATACATATAATAAAACTGTTTAAGTATAAATCCTGTGCATTGAAAATATTAAAAAAATAAATAGTTTAGTAGATAGACACCAATCCCAAAAATGTGATTGAAAAATATTTGTCTATATGTTCACGCATCCAAATAAACTACTGGTCCCAATACGATGAAACAGTCACATGAAACATGGCACGTACACCAGCACCGCCCAACTCAACCATATTGTAGGGTTCGATTCCCGCACGGAACAACACTTTGTGTGATCCACAGATTGTTGTTTCGGGTCTGGGTGTCATTGTGTATGTGAACTTGTATGTTTGTAAACTCACCCACGACACAGGAGAAAATCCTAATGAGGGGCAACGTTTTTTTTTTTAAAAAAAAAAAGAATCGAGCGATCCACTGCAAGTGTTACTGCGACCTTTGACTTAATCGTCAACTGGCGAGCGCGAATCTCGCGAGCGCGCGCGAGTTGGCACTTTTCGATTTTGCCTACTTTTTTTGTCGTCAACTCGCGCGTCTATATAATTTGATGTTTTAATGTATAGTCAGCTACAAAAACGTTATAACAAATTTAATTTAGTTAGGTACTTACCTACTATAAATGTATAAGAAACTTTATGAAATTTGATTTTTAAAATAAAACTAAATATAGATCTGTGATTTTATAGTTTCTAAGACTCTTTCTATGGTTCCTAAGATTGATTTTATTAGTGAGCAATAATAAGTCAGTTTGTTGTCAATTACTATGTTTAGCTTTACTATTTTATACTTACCAATTTTCAGTACGGTTTAAATTATTTATATTATGAGATTTATCGAAAATCTCCTCACATATAATTTTGTATACGAGTATGTGAGGGGAGTGTTTTCGTTGTTTCTATTTTATTTACTTAGTTTTTTACAATTTACATACTAGATAATAAGATAATAAGCCAAATTCTCAAATCAATGTGATATTGTTGATAATTAGTAAGGGAAATACTACTAATAATTTATATTTTGTCCTGTTGATTTATAATAAACTGATTTCAAAACGATGTATATTTTGTTTTATTTTAAAAATCAAATTTCATAAAGTTTCTTATACATTTATAGTAGGTAAGTACCTAACTAAATTAAATTTGTTATAACGTTTTTGTAGCTGACTATACATTAAAACATCAAATTATATAGACGCGCGAGTTGACGACAAAAAAAGTAGGCAAAATCGAAAAGTGCCAACTCGCGCGCGCTCGCGAGATTCGCGCTCGCCAGTTGACGATTAAGTCCGACCTTTAAGTGAGCATCTATACATATAATAAAATCGTAGAAAATTCAAAACTGTACATTGAATTTTTTTTTAAAAGAATACTTCGAGCGTGATCTACAATCGATACCGAAGCCAAAAATATGGGTTTTAGAATTGTTGTCTGTTTGTCTGTATGTATGTCCGGGATTATCTCCAAAAGTACGACATGGATTTACTTCAAATTTTGCATGAATATTACTAACAGGTCGGATCAACATATAGGCTGCATATTATCACGCTATCATCTACGGGGGAGGAGCTGTGAATCACAACTCCACGCGAACAACGTCGCGGGCAACAGGCAGTGACAATTGGGTAGTTTTCAGGGTATCAAAATTAAAAATCTAATTATTCCGTCAGTTAGATAATGAAAAAATATTAAACACGTATTTTTTTATTTTCTCGTATTAAGTTGCAACACTTAGATAAAATGGCGCTAAGTTTAGGAGTGGGAGGTTGTTACGTCATAACGTGCTACAAAATGTGACACGCTGTGACGTCACACGATATTTCAAATTAATATATCGTCGAAAGTATACAATTTTGTGAGAAAAGAAAAAATACGTGTCTAAAGTTTTAAATTAATGTACCAGACGGACATTAGACTGTCAAACACCGCGAGGACACCGGTGACCGCAACCTATCGTTCTATAATAGGCGTGTCGACAGGGTATCCATTCGAATCTACGTTTTGGAATGAGCACCTAGCTTCACCTAGCTTCACTGACGGACTGACTGAGAGACTATTATTTATTTTGTATTTGTTGACGTTTCAAAAGTACCAAACTATGGTTTAATTGAAATAAATGGTTTGACTTTGACTTTGGTAAAAAATCAAAAAAGTAATTAGTCCGTCATTAAGATCGCACGAAAATATCAGACACGTATTTTTTGTTTTATCAAATTAACAGAAGAATACGTAGTTATTCCGCATTAAAGTTAGGGAGTGGGGGGTGTTGACGTCACACTTACGGAGAAATCGTACCTAAGTGTGACTTCACGCGTCATTTTAACTCAAAATATCTACATGTTTTTTTGGATACGAGAAAAAAGAAAAAATACGTATCGAAGATTTTTAAAATATCTAAAAGACGGACAAAAAATTAAAAAATAGTCGCCATGCCTATTGTGTCTATCTATAATGACGGTACTCAAAGGGTTAAAATAAAATTTAGGAAACTACCCTATTATAAACCGTGATAAAAACGCGACGCTATGTGAAAGACGTAATGTATCGTTACAACAAGACGAATAACAGATACAACAGGAAAACTAATAAAACATTACCTACGTAAGATCAGTTGAAAAAAACATCTGTTTAGAATCGTGTCAAGACATTATTTCATTGACGATGCAATAAATTATATCGCTTTGATTTATTTTATTTCTTTTAAACGTTGCCCCATACTAGAATTATCTCCTGTATCGTGGGTGCGTTTACAAACATACAAGTTCACATACACATCACACCCAGTCCCGAAACAGAGTGGATCTGTGGATCACACAAAGAGTTTTTTTTATGGTATAGGAGGCAAACGAGCAGATGGATCACCTGATGGTAAACGATCAGCGCCGCCCATGGACACCCGCAACACCAGAGGAGTCACAGGTGCGTTGCCGGCCTTTTAAAAAGGAATACGCTCTTTTCTTGAAGGTTTGAAGGTCGTATCGGTTCGGAAATACCGCCGACGACAGATCATTCCACAGTTTTGCTGTGCGAGGTAGAAAGCTACGTGAGTAGATCCCTGTGAGATACGAACCCGCGACACGTTACTTGGCAGCTATTTGCCTAGCCACCTCGCCTCGGCTAGACCGATTTGGCTGATTTTTTTTGTTGTGTTTGTTATTGTTAGGAGAAGGTTCTTATGACAGAAAAAGTCCTGAAAATCCTACGGGAAAGGGAGAAAACGGGATTGCGCGTACAAAGTCGCGGGAAGAAGCTCGTATTAAAATGAAAAACAAAATATGCCAAATATGGGATATATTAAAGAAGGGCCAAATTAAAAGTACCCTTAACCGACGAGCATGCATGAAAAGATTGATGACTGTTAATGAAGCGAAAGAGGTATGTAAGAATCGTAGTAATTGGCGTTCCTTAATCTCTGCCTACCCCCATGGGAGACAGGCGTGAAGTTATGTATGTATGTATGGTATAATCTTTACCTTCGTAATCATGATACTCTTAGCTCCAATCATGAGTCCGTGCCTCGAGCATATCGCCTGTGGAGTTATCTCGCCCAGAAGCACAATGGCCAGGGTAGAGAATATGACGGCGAAGAGTCCAGAAGTCAGCTCATCCAGGAGTATGGTGAAGGTGGAGTTGACGGCCACGTTGCCGAGGAGTATGCTGCAGAGGAGGTAGTTCCCATGGTCGCGCACTGGCATGATGGCGCGGGCGTATTTGCGCTCTTGTTCCGTGCCTGTGGAGATAAAAAAAGGAGTTTTTTAATAAGTAAATTTAAAAAAAAACGACCTCTACACCATTTTTAGAAGTCAGTTAATTACATAACATAACATTATACCCGAAGAGGTAGGCAGAGGTGCACATTACGGCATTTAATAGCACTGTACAATGTAACACCCACTTTTCATTATTTATGTTATGAGTCCCATGTAATAGGGGGTGAGCCTATTGCCATATACCGAGCACAATTCCAGACTCCGTGCTACTACTGAGATTTTTTTGGAAAACCCCAGTAATACTTTGCTCGGCCCGAGAATCGAACCCGAGACCCCTTGCCCGGCAGTCGCACTTGCGACCACTCGACCAACGAGGCAGTCGTTTAATTAGTATACTAAAACCTTCTTTGGCCGAGAAAAAAACATTTGCTTCTATGTGCTCATCCAAGTCAAATCTTATATCTTATACTATTATATAAAGCGGAAGCGGAAGTTTGTACCTAATTTTTATTTTAATGTCCGCCTGGTAGATTATTTCAAATCATTAGACACGTATTTTTTATTTTCTCACAGAAACGAATACTTTCGACGATATATTGATTTGAAATGTCGCGTGACGTCACTTCTATGTACATTTTATACGTAGAAATGACGTTTTAGCTCCCACTCCTAAACTTTGATTCGTTTTATCTAAGTATTGTTTTATTATACGACAAAATAAAAAATACGTGTCTAATATTTTTTCATTACCTAACTGATGGAATACCTCTAATTAGATTTTTAATTTTCATACCCTGTCATCATCCCAATTTACCGACTGAAATTACTTTTAAAATTAGCTAACTGCAAAAATCGAACCCTCTAACCATAAAAACTTTCTTTAGACGTTCAAATTGCCGCGGAGGACCTAACGGGTTACCGGGGCTCCGGCTCGAAGGGCAGGAGTAGGAACGGGGTGGTTTTTAGTCAGTAAGAGTCTGACGCTCCCTCCCGCCTCACCCAGGGCGGGAGCAGTCATTCGATGATTTTCCCCCGTTTAAAAAAGGCGTCCAAATTCAAACTCGCTTACCAGTATTGGAAATGATCTTCAACTCGGTCCTATCCAGAGACATCAAGCCGAGGTTGAGGCCGGAGAAGAGTGCTGAGAAGCTGAGACAGGTCAGTATGAGGGTCAGAGACACCCACAGCGGGAGCAGCGTGTTGTGAGACGCTAGCATCTTGTATATTTCCGTGCCTGGAATGAGAAATATAAATTACAACTTATATAACACTACCTTTTACCCGCGGCTTCGCTCACGTCAGAAAAGGATAAAAAGTAGCCTATGTGACATTTACCAATACACACAGCGCCATCTATACCAATTCTTTTGTTTTCCCTCAGGCATATCAATTTTTTCCGGGATAAAACGTACCCTATTATTAAATCTGGACTTCTAACTTTACGTCTGCAAAAAATCAAAGCAATCGGTTTAGTAGTTACGGCGTGAAATCAGAACAAACAAACAAACTCACTTTTCGATTTATAATATTAGTAAGGATAAGATCACGCCTATTATCCCCGGAGGGGTAAGTAGAGGTGCATATTACGGCACTTAATGCCACTACAATGTAACATCCACTTTTCACTATTTATATTATGAGTCCCATGTAATGTATGGGGTGAGTCTATTGCCATATACCGGACATAATCCCAGACTCCGTGCTACAACTGACAATTAAAAAAAATACCAGTAATACTTTGCCTGACCCCGGAATCAAACCGAGCAAGAAACTCCGTCGTTTATCTTGTCAAAAAAATGTTTTTTTACTATCTCACAAAATATATATGATGTGAACTAATGTGATGTGAATTTGCACTGTTCAGCAGAATTTAAGGATCTAAAGCCCCTAGCTTAACTGCTGACCTGATAAGTCCACATACCTTGATGCAGATATTTCTCCTCATCCTTGAACGGATCATCGACTCCGACCCTGAGGTTCTTGGCGCAGATGTACAGCTTCGAGTCTGTGATCGGCGCCGGCGCAACTATGTCGAATAGGGCTGTTCTGGGACGGAGGGAGCCTTCTTTTACCTGCGTAGGAGAGCAATAACAATAGAACATTTATTTTTAAGCAAAAAGAATATGGCCTTTATATGATTTCCGAAACAACTTTTGCGTTGAAAGATATTAAAAAATAATAATGGTTCCGAAAAACAAATTAATTTTGTGTGGGAGAGCCATGCTTCGGCACGAATGGGCCGGCTCGACCCGAGTGATACCACGGCCGAGTAGAAAACCGACGTGAAGCAACGCTTACGTTGTGTTTCGTCGTGTGAGTGAGGTCACCGGAGGCCCAATAACCCTCAGCCCCACTATCCCAATCTATCCAATCCCCGAATCTGTAACAATCCTCATATTCCTACACCCAAAAGGCCGGTAACGCACTTGTAACGCCTCTAGTGTTCCACGTGTCCATGGGCGACGCCGATTGCTTACCATCAGGTGATCCATCTGTATGTTTACCGGCTTATTATCAAATACCATTTGTCCAGAAAGCAGAATTCTTAATCAACAAGGTTCCATTCCCAAAAGGAATCACCAATTTGCGAAATTGCAGCAATTTTATCTACACATGTGGCATTATGTAATTAGGGCGCACCCTAAACAAAGCTTCTTCTGTAATTGGAACTGAGTACCTACCTTCTATTCCCTACACTGTGAAAATTTCGTTTTCGTCCCGCGGCAAAATAACTTGCCATTTTTTTTTAAGGAGGTAAAATCATCGAATGACTGCTCCCACCTGGGTGAGGCGGGAGGGAGTGTCAGACTCTTACTGACTAAAAACCACCCCGTTCCTTCTCCTGCACGTCGATCCGGAGCCCCGGTAACCCGTTAAGTTCTTCGTGACATAACAACTTGCCATTTTGTTTTTTTTTTAAGGGGGAAAAATCATCGAATGACTGCTCCCGCCTGGGTGAGGCGGGAGGAAGTGTCAGACTCTTACTGACTAAAAACCACCCCGTTCCTTCTCCTGCACGTCAAGCCGGAGCCCCGGTTACCCGTTAGGTTCTCCGCGACTAAACAACTTGGCATAAGGAGTACTTTCGATGTATTAAATAAAAACAAAAAATAAAATAAAGATGTATTTTTTTTTTGTTTAAACAGTTTCATGGTAATTCGGACATATTATATACTGACCAGATTAGTGATACATTAAAGAAGGGCCAAATTAAAAGTACCCTTAACCGACGAGCATGCATGAAAAGATTGATGACTGTTGAGGAAGCGAAAGAGGTATGTAAGAATCGTAGCAGTTGGCGTTCTATAGTCTCTGCCAGGAGACAGGTGTGAAATTATGCATAACATAACATAACATCACGCCTTTTATCCCCGAAGGGGTAGGCAGAGGTGCACATTGTGCCACTGTACAATGTAACACCCACTTTTCACTGTTTATGTTATGAGCCTCATGCAATAGGGGGTGAGCTTATTGCCATATACCGGGCACAATTCCATACTCCGATTGCTACTATTGAGATTTTTTTAAAAACCCAGTAATACCTTGCCCAACCCGGGAATCGAAATTATGCATGTATGTATGAAATGAAGTATTTCATTAAATTTGCTTCCATTTGCCAAAATGTCAGGCTGACATTTCATAAGGTCAATGTTGAGGTCTCGATAAAGGGGCCATTAGGGCATCAGGCTTAGGCGTGGCGAAATGATAATGTGAAGGTCAGACATGTATTCGTAAACAAATGGGGTAGGTAGAGGTGTGTTTAGACTGCCCTTAATAATATTCATCAAGTTTTATTTAAGTGTGGGAGAGCCATGCTTCGGCACGAATGGGCCGGCTCGATCGGAGTGATACCACGGCCTCACAGAAAACCGACGTGAAACAACGCTTGCGTTGTATTTCGTCGTGGGAGTGAGGTTACCGGAGGCCCAATTACCCCCTCTCTAGTCCTCGTCTCCCGAATCCTCGAATTCCCAATTCCCGAAAGGCCGGTAACGCACTTGTAACGCCTTGGTGTTTCGAGTGTCCATGGACGGCGCCGATTGCTTACCATCAGGTGATCCGTCTACTCGTTTACCGGCTTATGCTATAAAAAAACAGCCTATAAATGCCCACTGCTGATCAAAACCTCTTGTCACACGGAGAAGGTTTGAGCATTAATCACTACGCTTGCTCAATGCGGGTAGGCGATTACAAACTTATAATTAGCAATTGTAAGCCCAGGGCTTTTTTTAAACATTGCCTCACACTAGTATTTTCTCCTGTGTCGTGTACGCACACACAAACATACAAGTTCACATACACATGACACCCAGACCCGGAACAACAATCTGTGGATCACGCAAAGAGTTGTTCCGTGCGGGAATCGAACCCGCGATACGTTGCGCGGCAGCCAGTTGCCCAATCACCGCGCAGTCAACTTCAATGTTTACTTCAACAGTCAAAGTTTCCTCACGATGTTTTCCTTCACCGTTTGTCAGTGGTGTCTTAATAATCTTAGAAAGTACATATAACTCGGAAGTCGTCACATTGGTACTTGCCGTTGGTAGGTTTCGAAACCGCACCCTCATGCATGAGAAGCGGGCATCCTAAACCTCTGGGCCACCCGAGCGTACGGCGCGGCGCGTTCCGCGCGCGCCTCAATGAGCCATCAGACCACCACAGATGGGGCCCAATACGGCCGATGCCGATTCGGAGTCGCGGAAAACCTAACGGGTAACCGGGGCTCCGACTCGACGTGCAGGAGAAGGAACGGGGTGGTTTTTAGTCAGTAAGAGTCTGACACTCCCTCTCGCCTCACCCAGGCGGGAGCAGTCATTCGATGATTTTTCCCCACTTAAAGAAGAAAAAAAAACCTTTGGGCCACCACTACATCATCATTACTGATATTATAAATGCCGAAATGTTTGTTTGTATTTCTGTTACGTCGCAACAGCAACAGAGCGTCTTTATAGGTTACTTTTCGTCCTATGTTCGGGCTAAACTGTGCCTTTAGCCAAACGCCACTTTAGCGTTTGTCTACAGATGATACTGACAAGTGTCAAAATTTACGTCAATTCCATATAATTTGGTTTTCTATTCTACCTCTACATGTAGACAAGCGCTAGGTGGCATTTGGCTACAGCTGCTGAGATGTTAAACTTTGAAACTATATAATTCAAGAAAGGTAGGCCCTACAGAAACCTCACTCATTCGACGAAACACAACGCAAGCTTTATCTAAAGCCTGTGTCACCTGTTTCTACTCGACCTTGATATCTCTCCGGTCAGGCCCAATTACCTTCCCCTTCCACAATCTCCCCAATCCCTGAATCCCTAACGATCCTCAAACTCCTAATCCCCAAAAAGCCGGTGACGCACTTGTAACGCCTCTGGTGTTCCAGGTGTCCATGGGCGACGCCGATTGCTTACCATCAGGTGATCCCCTCGGTTACCGGCTAATGCCATAAAAAAAAGGGTCAGGGCTCGTACACAAAACTGCGATGCCATGCGATTTAGTGCGACAAGGCGTCTCCCAGGGTGACTATCCTACGACGACCGTCAATCGTACTAAACGTAGGTATTTTAAATTGAAAACTAGGTCGTGACATGGATCGTCAAAAGAAGTGTGCACTTCTGTTATTGCTTAGGAGATACAGGAAAAAGAAACAAAGAAGATTTTGGAAAGATAAGATTTAGATGCGCGATGCGAATCAATTCGCAAGTTCTTGCGATGCGTAGAGGGAGCTCGCACATATTTGCGATGCGCCGTCGCATCGCAGTTATGTGTACGAGTCTCAAGCCACGCCGGAACATGGGTCTCCAAAGAAAGAAATAGTTTTATAAAAATAGCCTTTATTACACCGGCTTATAATACAACTTACCATGTATTCTCCCTTTAGAAGAAATTTGCAAGGCTGCCCATACTGTTGTGTTTCATGCGTGAATGCTATCACTGTTCGCGATGTGAGTCCATCGCCGAATAATCTAGAACAAATCATTTTTATGAGAATGGTGTAACTAGAGGAACACGTCATCATCGTCATAATCATCGTCATCAGTAATTATAAGCTTATTAAGCTAAACGCGAGTGTCGTATACCCGAATAAGAGACTACACATTTGACAGCGACCGGGCAGCAGCGCTCTCTGATAAACCAGAGGACTTATTCTTGAACTCAATTCCGATCGAAAAACATCGACATTGTGCAAATTCGTACTCTTGAGTTGCAACACTAGCGCCCATTGCATGCGTATTGCGTGAATCCTTATCCTTACTCCTTACTAATATTATAAATCGGAAAGTGACTTTGTTTGTTTGTTTGTTCCGTTTTCACGTCATAACTACTAAACCGATTGCTTTGAATTTTTGCAGACGTAAAGTTAGAAGTCTGGATTAAATAACAGGGTACTTTTTATCCCGGAAAAATTTGATATTCTCGAGGGAAAACGAAATTATTGGTATAGATGGCGCTGTGTGTATTGGTAAATGTCACATAGGCTACTTTTTATCCTTTTGTGACGTGAGCGAAGCCGCCGGTAAAAGCTAGTATTCAATAAACTAAACGGTATTGAGTTTGACTGTATATTCCGTACATCGAATGCTATTTCAACAGCTACGATAGAGGTTGTATAATGTTAACATTGAATAATTATTGAGATTTTATTGGATTCCAATTGCATTGAGATTGGTTTCAAAAGTAAGCATTTTGGTTTCCTGGCGATGTTTTCCTTCACTATTTGTCAATTAATCTTACATTATACATATAAACTACTTAAAGTGACATTGATTCTTGTCAGATTTCGAAACTACCAAGAGAAGCGGGCGTCTCAAACCGACAGGCCAAAACGACAACAAGACAGTCAGTCCAACACAGCTCTCAATTAAACCATAGACATACAATAGCCAGTAAGACCTATTTCTCAATCATTGAACGTCATTATTCTTGACCAAGCTGTATTGTCTAGGAAACCTTTACTGCATGATTGGTAGCCTTAAGATAAAATACACGACAAGAAATTAGCAAAAAATATAGACTGCCTATTTTTTACACTTGAATGAATACGAAGAGCTGAAGATCGAGTTTCGTGGCGTGGCATTGAAGAGGCTAAGTCTAGCTGAGGATGGAAACAGGCTGTTGATGATGATAATTGGGATGATGACAGGGTATGAAAATTAAAAATCTAATTACTCCGTCAGTTAGGTAATGAAAAAATATTAGACATTTATTTTTTATTTTGTCGTTTAATAAAGCATTACTTAGATAAAACGAATCAAAGTTTAGAAGTGGGGGCTAAAACGTCATTTCTGCGTATAAAATGTACATAGAAGTGACGTCACGCGACATTTGAAATCAATACATCGTCGAAAGTATTCGTTTCTGTAAGAAAATAAAAAATACGTGTCTAATGGTGTAAAAAAATCTACCAGACGGACATTAAAATAAAAATTTGGCATCTACCCTGAGACTAGATTTGATGTTTAATACATGAAGACTGGAGAGTGTGTGAACTGCTTTGTATATTTGATCACGCAAGAAATATATATAGAAATGACATTTTAGCCCCCACTCCTAAACTTTGATTCGTTTTATATTGTTTTATTATACGACAAAATAAGAAAATACGTGTCTAATATTCTTTTCATTACCTAACTAACGGACTAATTAGATAATTAATTTTCATACCCTGTCATCATTCCTATTATCGCGAATAATGGGAAGCACCAGTTATGACATAACTGCAGATTTCTTTTTACAATCATTTTCGTCACAAAACATCACCTTATACATATAACTGAGGACTTAGGCTCGGTGCCCACTATCGGCATCGGCAAGGAAAAGGATCCTTCGGCATCTTACATGCAAGTGCACACTCGGAACTTTAGCATGATGGAACGTTCTTACGAATGTACGAGGCGTCCCTAAGCATGGCGTCTCAGAGTTTTTACAAGCTAGTTGTCTGAGTTGTATTTAATATGATGGACTGGGATCTAGTGCCCATAGCAGCTCTTGCTGAAGAAGAAGAGAAATCTAATCAATCAAGCCGGTGGCGCCGGAGGATGTCGAAGGCGCCGAAGCATCCCGAAGGATTCTCAAGGCTGCCGATACAACAGCCTCCAGCATACCAAAGCGGTATTTTTGTTATTACGACCATATGCACGGCAGTTTCTACTTTAATGCCATTATGTTAATGTATATTGCTATTTGCCACCTAAAATCCTCAGACGTGCTGATGACGATAGTGGGGACTGGGCCTTAGAAAACAGCTGAAACTACAGGGAAGAGGAAACAAATCAATAATTCTTAAGTTGTTTGTAGACTAGATAAGTTTGCGTCATGTTCCGGCCATTTATTAGACAATATGGCGCCGTCTGTCTGTCTGTCATAATATTCTATAATATCCTTATGATGTCATGAACCCTTGTATGTAAAAGAGGTCAAAGAACGGGAAAACATTATTGACACGAAAAAACTAGGATGAAAAGATATGGGGACAAGTTATTACTTATTAGCAAACATATCATTTTAAGTGTAGGCTCGCGCTCGCCGTGCTTCGACACTGCTGGGCCGGTTCGACCGCAGTGATACCACGGCCGAGCAGAAAACCATAGTGAGACCTCGCTTGCGTTGTGTTTCGTCGTGTGGGTGAGGTTGCGGGTAATTGGGCCTCCCAATTACCCGCACATTTTTTTTATGGCATAAGCCGATAAACGAGCAGACGGATCACCTGATGGTAAGCAATCGGCGGCGCTCATGGACACCTAGAACACTAGAGGCGTTACAAGTGCGTTGCCGGCCTTTTGGGGATTAGGAGTTTGAGGATCGTTGGGGATTCAGGAATTGGGGAGATTTGGGAAGGGGGAGGTAATTGGGCCTCCGGTAACCTCACTCACAAGACGAAACACAACGCAAGCGTTGCTTCACTATGGTTTTCTGCTCGGCCGTGGTATCACTCCGGTCGAGCCGGCTCATTTGTGCCGAAGCATGGTTCTCCCACACTTAAACTACTCATTTAGACTAGTCAGGAGGTCTTCTTATGAGGCCGGCTTCATCTAAATAACTATTAACTATACTACTAGCGTCTGCTAGCGGCTTCGTTTGCATTCCCAGGAATATAAAGTAGCCATGTGTTATTTCAGACCATAATCTGCCTCTGTTCTAAATTTCATCTCTGTCTCTTCAGCCGTTTTGACGAAATTGGGCAACAAGTAAACACAATTTTTATGGGACAAGTCCGCCACAACCTCCCAAAACCGCTGCAACTCCTGTAAGCCAGGATCTACAGTAAATACAACCATGAAGACACCGGGACACTGAAGTCCGGCGCGTCCCAGGGACATGAGTAACTGTTTTGGTTCCCGCAACGAAGTGAATCAGAAGAATAAGAGGAGAGGAAACAGACACATAAACTAACAAATTTTCATTTTTATAATAGCAATACAAACTAATTTCAATCATCGGCCCTACAGTTACAGCGTAATGTCCATTGCAGGTACCCTAACATTCGACAAACTTATATATCTGTTTGGTACAGTAATCGTGTCTAGGGATTGAGCCGCATAATAGGGTAGTTTCCTAAATTTTATTTTAATGTCCGTCTGGTACATTAATTTAAAACTTTAGACACGTATTTTTTCATAACATAACATAACATCACGCCTTTTATCCCCGAAGGGGTAGGCAGAGGTGCAAGAGAAGTAACACCCACTTTTCACTATTTATGTTATGAGTCCCATGGGGGGTGAGCCTATTGCCATATACCGGGCACATTTCCAGACTCCGTGCTACTACTGAGAATTTTTTTAAAACCCAGTAATACTTTGCCCGACCCGGGAATCGAACCCGAGACCCCTTGCCCGGCAGCCGCACCACTCGGCCAACGAGGCAGTCGTAACGTATTTTTTCTTTTCTCACAAAACTAAATACTTTCGACGATATATTAATTTGAAATATCGTGTTACGTCACAGCGTGCCATATTTTGTAGCACGTTATGACGTAACGACCTCCCACTCCTAAACTTAGCGCCATTTTATTTAAGTATTGCAACTAAATACGAGAAAATAAAAAAAATACGTGACTAATTAGATTTTTAATTTTGATGCCCTGGAAACTGAACGGGACCAAAAGTACCCAGTGTGATGCCCAGGATATTAAAGTATAATTATACCCAGTTTCATCGCAATCGGACCGGTAGTTTTTGCGTGATGCGTGAACATACAGACAGACAGACAATAACATAACATCACGCCTTTTTTTTATCCCCGAAGGGGTAGGCAGAGGTGCACATTACGGCACTTAATGCCACTGTACAAT